TGACCATAGCCTGACCATAGCCGAATTGGGAGATATTCTGAAGCTCCCCAATTTTGGACCCGGAGCCCCTCCGGGAGATTTTAGTGCAGGGGACTTCTGGAAGGCTATTACAGGCAGAACTGATTATGTCGCGAAGGCGGCAAAAGCCTCGTGTATCCATAACCCATGTTTCAGGTACGCTCAAAAGGGATTGGCCTATACACTGTTCGGCAGGGGTGACAGCACAGGAGTGGCAACTCAGAGGGAGTTGTACTTCATGTATGGCATGGCAAATCAAGAACTCATTAATGTGGCCGCCTTTGCAGCTGACCACCTGAAGAGGGTTGCGAATGCACCTTCCGGCGAAATCAGTGTAGGCGGTATGATTACTCAAATCGCAAATCACTTTGGCCACGGTACTCTCTTGAGAGAGGAACCTACTGTTGCAGGTAAGACAAAGATAGATCTTGCCACACTGACGGCCCAAGGTATGATTCGTGTCTTTGATAATTACTACTCCTTGGTAAGCCGAAACAGTCATCTCCTCGCTTTACATGCCCCTGACTTTATTAGTATTCAAAATGTGAATAACTGGCTATATGAGAGCACAATGCAGGATGAAGAAGACCAATTTTATGATGGTACAGGTACATAATTCTTTGAGGATGAAGGAGATCAGGTAGACGAAGCGCCTATACCACCTACTCGAGTCTCACCCCATCAGGAGTCCGGCTCCGGCTCTTGGAGCTTATCTAAAAAAGAATGGGATTGGATGGAGAGTGAGATGTGTCATCTCCGAAGTGAGCAGACAAGGCAAGGCGAGGAGCAGACAAGACAAGGAAACGAACAAATCCGACAAGGCAGGTTGATCGGTGAAATGCACGAATGGATGCGGCAAATGATGTTGCGCGACCAACCTCCGTAACCATGAACTCTGTGAGTCCTCTGCTACTGGTGTTCCAACAGTGAGGACACTGTTGAATCCTAGTGTGGGGGTATTTTTATTTGTGTTTTTATGTTATTTGTTTATGTTATTTGTGTGTTTTCGTTTCTGTTTTAGTTTAATTTTCAGTGTTAGTTTTTCAGTTTAGTTTGAAAGCATGATAGCAAGTCCACAGGAAAACCCCCTGACATTGAGCTAATAAAATTAATAACATTGTTGGTTGGGAACTGTTTAGTGAAGAGGTCGAGTGAGGTGATGAGAAAGTATATAGAATACTCAAAAAAAAAAGAACTGTGAGGATGAAATCGGAACAATCTTGAGAGATAGGTAAAAGGCAAACACCCTGGGTTTCCCGAATAGGAACGAGTTCGACGTGTAGATTTGTACCATAGTGCTTTGATCTGAGAAGTACCCCTGAGTAGTTTATTTTGATAATCAGGTTTCATCAATAAGAATCGTGTGTGCAAGGTTAACGAAAAATATTGAGCTAAGGCACAGGAAAAAAAAACAAACAAACAAAAAGGGGCAATTAGGCGACTAATCCTTCTAAGTTGGGTAACCCTCACCCGGTTATTCAGCCCAACGGCGGTCGAGCCTGAAAGCCATTCAAAAAGAATAACAGTGCCAGAAAAAGAAAAATGTCGTTGATGAATCTTGTGCACACGAGGAAAATCATAAAAGCCGTATAGTGATTGTCCGAATGAAAGGGAGGAAAATCGAAAAAGAAGACTTAAGTACAAAGCATAGTCGGAGAGGTTACCCATAAGGGAGACTGAGGTCTGTGGTTTACCGCAGTCTAGTGTTTGCATGTTACCTGTTTTAAGGGAAAGGCCGAGATTAATCCTAGTGGGACTTGGAATGAGAAGTTCAAGTATGAGTATCATCACCATAACTCACATTTCTATGGACGGTTCCGTTATGAAATAGATATTAAGTTCGGTTTGGCGAGCTTTTTGCTTGAGGACAAGCAAAAGTTCAAGTTCGGGGGAGTTTGATCGGTGGATTTCACTTGTGTTTTCAAACGCTGTTTGTTGTTAATTTCGCACCGTTTTTATCTGTTTTCGAAGTTTTAGTTGTTATTATCTGAATTACTCGTAGTTGTTTGTCTTCAAGTCTTATTTCGAAGTTTGTATTACTTTTGCCGCTGGTGCGTTTGATTCGGTTTCTTTTAGTGTGTTTTTGGCAGGAATGGATAGCATGACAGTCGCACCGCTTTCGGAGGCAAAGAAAAGTCGGAAAAGGGAAGTCAGAGCCACAACACGGGTACCCGTGTTGCACAACACGGCCCGTGTCATGGAGGACACGGTTGGCAGACACGGGTAGACCAAAGCAGAAGAAAAAGGGAAACAGACGTACAACACGGGTGCCTGTGTCATGCAACACGGCCCGTGTTTCAGCCCTTGTAGAAGAAAACGTGCCTGAAGGAGTCAGCAGCCTGACACGGCCACCCGTGTTGCACAACACGGCCCGTGTCAGGGCCACAAAGAGTGAAATTGTTATATTTTCTGGTTTTTTGCTGTCAGACCTATTTCGAAGGGCATTTGAGACATTTCGCGATGTAATTTGAATTTAGATATAAGAGTCACTTTTTAGAAAGTAGGAGACACTTTTGAATGAATATTAGGATTGACAACTGAGGAGAGAGTTCTGCTGGAGAACAGAGGATCGATCAAAAGCGGAAGCAATTGATGATCCAAGGCATCCAACTCGAATTGTAATGATCTTTTCCTTTTCATTTCTAATTGCATTGATGTTTACAAAGAACATGAGCAGCTAAACCCCAAGTTGTTAGGGGGTGGTCCTAAGTTGCGATGTAATGACTTTTGTTTGATTATTCTATGAGAACTATGTTATTAGCCTTATATATTTTATTTTGCATCAATTTTAATGCGTATTCATATTGGAAAGTAGAATTCGAATTATGCTAGGTTTTAGTCTGGAAAGTCAACCTAACACTTTTGCAAAATAGTATCACGGTCGATATTGCTTAGGAATGAGGATATCCCGTATCACATATTTTATGGTCGGAACTATTGCTTGATGCTTTTCATGGACACTGAGGAATTAGTGTACATGAAACTCATCAAAGGATTTTCATTAAGGAATTAAGAAAACTAAATTGGTCAACTGATGAATTAAGGTTAATAACTATTATAGCAGGACAATCATACATGGTCTTTACTCGCATCGTATCCACTCCCCTAACGTTGTTCTTAGATTGATTTATAAGTCTTTATTTACTTGTTATATTACTCTGCTACCAAACAAACCATTAGATCTTTTGTTCCTTTGAATCCTAAAAATCCCGTTAATTACTACGCAGTCCTCGAGATCGATACTTGGGACTTTTCCCTTATTACTACAATTGGTAAAAATAGTACACTTGCTATTTTCCTGATCAGTAACCATCGACAATGGATAGATCCTAATAATTTAACATGTTTCCCACTACTTAAGCAACTTTGCTCTAACATGCTTCGACGTCTCTTCAAGGAAAAAACTACTAAAAACCAACAACTTCACTGATAAGTGTGTTGATAATTCCTCTAAGCCTCTCAACTGCCTCGGTCGAGAGTCCTTAATCAACTCCTGTAGTGCTAAGACATCATCACATCACATAGTCTTTGGACTTAAGAATATCCTAAGTCCCCAACACCTGGTAGATGTGTCGACTTCGACATTGGTCGAAGTTTTAGAAATATCGGTAAAGTCGAACGGATCCAAGATTGAATCGTGAACGAAATCACTTTCCTTAAAAGTATTTTAAGAACTATCAAATATGTCTTAGAGTTGGAAATCATGAATATCCAGGATAATTCAGCCTTATATTGAATTTGTGAAAGACCGACGAAAACTTGATTTGTAGCGAAGAAAGTTTAGAATTAGTTCAAGAGGATATTTGGTTTGTGTTATGATTTTATGAATTATGAAATGATGTATTTATAAGCCATATATGTGTTGTTTCACAAGGTTGTGACCCTTGATGGAACAACGCCTTTAAGCTAAAAGTTATATTGTTTCCAAGCATTGTCATTTTTCATTCCGCAACAATCCTTTATGAAGTGTTGCTTCTCTTGGTCGGTTGTCATCCGTCGGAGCGCCACCGGTGTCGCCTTATAACGCCACGAGTAACCCGATTGCTTTGATGCATCGTACTCAAGTGCACAAGTGCCGCCTACAAGCCGCCACTAGCACCTCTACGCCCACGCCCTCGGACCCAGTCTCAGAGTCAGTGTCGTCACAACAGCGACACTGGCAAGGGGTTGTATGGAGGAGACAAGATACTTGGGACCACCACGCTTGTCCATGTGGCCCTTTATCCTCTTTTGTTCTTTTGTTGAGTTAATGCTCATAACTCTTTATAAAGACTTTTAAAGTGAGTGAGACATTTTATGTGTGACTATTTCCCAATCATTTATTAGCATTTACTCACTTCTACTTTTTTTGTCATTTTGGAACACACTCATAGACATTTATTGTTCATAAATTACAACACAAAAGTCTGATTTATGAACCCACTTGAGATTCTGAACATGTTTGGAAGAGATGACAATCTTAAACTTGTAGATTTGTTTCTAAAACTCTTCCAAATCATTCTTCACCTCGGCTCATCTAACAAGTTAGTTAAACTACTTAGCCGACGTAGTTGATATGTCGAAGCTTTTGGTTAAAATTCTTGGCATACATTTTCAGCGTAGCTGTTACAATTCTTTGTTTGACTTTTCATTGGCTAAAATTTTTAAGCTAACATTTAGATGGTGAAATGAATACGTTCGGTAAGAAGGAAAAAAATAGAAAGGAATAGTGAAAAAGTTAGAATACACATGGCAGCATAGAATTCAATGAGATGTGTGATTATTAAGCACATTCGTAATTTACTTATTAGTCTTTATTTACTTATTAGTCTTTACAAATAAGTATTTATCTATGTATAATTATAATTGTGAGGCCGTGTGAAGCAAAACATCTTTACAAATAAGTGAATATGCGCGGTTACTCCAGAAGCAACGTAGTTTAATACGCGCCATTACTAATCATCAAATAGCATTAAAAAAAATCGTCACCATAAGTTTCAACCATGTCCATGTCCATTATCCACAACCTTAAAACCCCAACCTTACTCTCCCCTTCCCTTTCTTCACCCCACACTTCCTCATCATTCCCATTACAATCATCTTTCAAACCACCCATCTTTTCCTCTTATCCCTCACTCCTTTCCAGAAGACTCTTCCTTCCATCCGTTTCCGGTATCTGGGACGCTTTCACTGGCGGCAACAACAACACCAATGAAGCCGTTCTCGCAATTCGACGCGGAATGTCTCTCTTCAGACAGGTACACTTCTCTATCAAAGCCCTTCTTTTTTTTTTGCTATTAAATGGTTCCTTTGTAACTAAATAATTGCTCAGGGTGATGTTTTAGGGTCTGTTGTAGAATTCGACAGAGCAATTCAATTGGACCCTCGTCAAAAGGCCTGTATGTTTATTCATTTTTCGTCACTCTCATGTAACTAACTTTCAATTGAATATAGTTAAATTGAACAATCTATTGATATTTTGAGTTCTGTCACTGTCACCACCAGATCTTTGGCAAAGGGGCCTTTCACTTTACTACCTTGATAGGTACTACTCACACTACACCTCACCTAATTTTCTTTTTCTATCTGATTATGTGAAGGAGATTATGTTTGGAACAACATTCATTGTGAAACTACGTGTATGTTTTTGCGTTTGGAGTGCCAAAATTGATTCTGATGTGTTTGGTTACTCTTGAGTAGAATTTATTATGCTTTGTATAATTAATTTTACTTGATGCTAGGATTTGTAGCTTTTGAGTTTAAATGTGATTTTTACATCGAAATTTACTATTCAACTCATTTTTGTACAAATTTTTCCAAACATAAATCATTTCACCACTAACTTTTAGTCGGAATCAATTTTACAAAAACAATTCATTCAAAATCAATTTTATTCGCTGCAGAACCAAAGTATCCCTACTTGTTATGATCACAAGTACATTTTTTAAAATAGTAATCAGTATATATTAACTATTAGTATGTTTGTGTGTTAGTAAGCAATAAGCAATGTGAATTTCTCTTCACAAACTTGTTAATATATCTTGACTGCATCTAAATATAATAACAAAAGAAGTTTTAAATGGAACGTCCTTTTTCGTAGATTTGAAGAAGGAGCTGAGCAGTTTCGGTTAGATGTTGCTCAGAATCCAAATGATACAGAAGAGTCCATATGGTGCTTTCTGTGTGAAGCTCAACTGTATGGAGTGGATGAAGCAAGGAAGCGATATCTTGAGGCATGTCATTGATTCTCGTACTGGGAAGTTACTATCATGAAAAAAAAACATGACAATATTTGATTAATTGTTAACTTCTTTTGATGAATTTAGGTTGGCATAGACCCAAGGCCCGTCATGAGGGAAACATATGACATGTTTAAAGATGGTGGAGATCCTGAAAAGGTGTGCTCTTTAATTCCTTTAAGGCATTGACAATTTCAATACAGCTATTTCTGTTAGATTAATTTCCTTACGCCTTTACGATCGGATCAGACACAATGAAATGGTTTACCTGTGTAGCTTGTAGCTGCTTTCTCTAATAGCAGAGAAAGCGATTATTTTTATGCTTCACTATATGCCGGGCTATTTTACGAATCTAAGGTATGCTTACAACTTTCAAGAGGGCTCGTATTTTTTATGACTTTTAGTTCTGTTCGAAAAGGACTTGTTAATGCTTGTTAATGATTTTTCAATGTGTAGAATGAAAGTGATGCTGCAAAAGTTCATATAGTAGCTGCTTGCAAGTCTTCTTATGGGCAAAGGTTTGGTTTTGAATATGTACACATTTCTTAGCTATAAAACAAAATGAAACTTGGAAATATGAAAGTTGCACATGAATTCTTGAATGCAGGTCTAATGATTATATGGCTTCTCTTTCCAAGGTTCACTGTCTTTGTCGAAATTGGATCTTCAGCTGATGTTTTTTAAGTCTCTCCATGTAAAAAGATGAAGACCATTTATAGGTCGTTCTTTAAACTAGTAGAATTTAATATTCATCAATTCACTTGATTTTATGATCACAATGAATATTACTTCTGTACTGGGAATTTTCTTAACATCCAGTAAGTTCGAAATTGTTCTGATAAACTCTTATATTGGAGTAGAAATTACACCGTGGCTTGTAATGGGGGATTTAAATAATTTCACTTTGGCCTCTTGTTTTTAGTCAAATGTTAATCTCATTATTATTGCTATTTCTGAAGAAGCAAAATTGATTCGCAGTTGTAACAAAAAAAAAAAAGATTTGTAGACAGTGGAGTATTGACAATGTAAATAGAACACACACAAGTATTTTAATGTTAATGTTTAGAATTGAGGAAATATGGAAAGAAAAAAAATTAGAAGAGTATGCTAATATCACTAGACTTGTCTCATAAAATTTAAAATTAACTTTTTTTCTCGAAAAAATAGGACTCTAGACTTGAATTTGGATTTATTTGTCAACAAAAACTTCCATTTGATGGCCCAGCCCAATCTCGATAATTGGATTTGGGCAGTACTCATCCCACCCAGAGTGTGCTCTTCCACCCCCAACGAAAATTCTAAAATGCTTGTAAATTCTAGATATGCATATCCGGCCGCACATTTTATACACATATTTTAGTACTTCGTAAATGAATCACTCCTATTTTATTCAAAAAATTATGTTTAGAAATGTATCTCCGAAATCTGAAGATACATTTCTTTAAAAATGTTGCCACCCTTTAAAATATGCAACTCCCTTAAAAATCTACAATAAAAATGGACAAAGAAAAATTGTAGTTGTTCGCTGGTAATTTAGCAAATCAAATCACAAATTTTCGTTCACTTAAGAGATTACATTCGAAAAGATAATATGGACAATTTATGTAAAAGTTTTGAGAAAGTATGTTTGTGCTTGAATATTGATGTTTGAATGTGAAGAAATTGGATAAGAATTCCAATGTAAACAACACATAATTGTTCCATGATGTAAAGTAAATAAAGAAAAACAATGAAAGCAATCAAATAAAATGTTTGGATTAAAAACTTAAGAACATGGATGCAAATTCAGCCATGTTCTCTCACAAACTTTTTTCTCTCTGACTTGGATACTCAAATTATATAGAAAATATTAATAAAATTTATGAACCTTTAATACATAACTGAAATGGACTTATATACTAAAAACATTAATAACCGTTGATAACACTTACTACCCTAGAACTTAACACATGTCCTATTACACAGATTTCTACTTTTTGATATGTTTCCACGTGTCTTTGATCTTTGAATTGTCTATAAACAACTCTTAATATTTAAACCGTCTTCACAACCTCTAACTACCTCTATCGAGAAGCTTCTCTATCGGACCCTGTACTGGTGTCGAACCGTCTCTAGGTCACCCTATCCATGGACTCAAAAATTAAGTCCCAAAATACCTGACATGCAAGTCGAACTCACCGCCTTTACATCACACTTTTGTGTCAAAATGTTAATCCACTACGAATCTTTTCGAGATTTTGGACATGTTTTGATGAGAGAGTTATCTTAATCTTGTGAATTTATTCTTGAGACTCTTTCAAATCAGACTTAGTAGGTTCTAGTGTAGTGTCAAAAATCATAGGCTAACAGATGCCCCCAAATATGGAAGAAAAATGGTGTTTTTCGTAACTCTCGACATTGTTCATGGATGTTTGCATATGTCACCGTCATCATGACCACTTTCACCAAATTGTTACATCAAGAACATGCGTGCAAAATTTCATTATGATTGATCAGTGCATTTTAATGTACCTTACTCTATGTTTAGACTTAGGCATTTCTACCATTTAGTTTATTTAATTGCCTATTTTATAATGTTTTTACAATTTATTTTATTTTAAGCTTTATTTAATTTTCGTTTGTTATTTTTCAGCATTAATAGCTTTTAGTGAAAAATTCATAACTGGAGCTACAGGAATCGGATTGAGGCATTCTACCAGTCGTTGGAAAGCTAAGAAAGAGATCTACAACTTTCATGTTGCACAAAGGAGCTGATTCGGATTTCTTGAGTCTCGAATAATTCGTTTAAGTTTCTGACTTGTGACAATGTAGTTTTCCTTGCGGGCCTAGTTTAGGTTTCTGGCCCAGTTATTTTCTATTTAAAGTTGTTGTTGTGATGCAAAACAGAGACCTAGTTTATTTTTCCGAATTTTTTCCTTTGTTTTATAGTTTTCATGGAAAACTAATACCTCCGGGCAAATCCTGTTGTGTACGGTTTCAACACTTTGAGGTTATTATAATATCAATTTAAATCTGATTCCTTTCAATCCTTTTCTATGAAGTCATTTGCTTAATTTGATTGCAATTGTTTGCTTAATTCAATTGTTGTTCATAGGATAGAATTGATTAAATTCGATTGTATGCATGTTTCTAAATTTAATTGCGTGTTATCGTTTGCTTAATTCGTTAATTCGTCATATTCTTAACCGTTTGCTTAATTCGGTAAACAGGAACATAATTCATTTGATGTTGATAAGCGCTTGTCTGATTAATATCATAATCGAATAGGATTGGTACCGCTTAGGGATTGATGTTATAATAACCAATGATAAGTCGGAACCCGAATCAGTAGGATTAGTCGTTTTAGTTTATCTGATAATCACTTTTTTTAATCATTTTTTTTCTTATTTTATAAATCAAAACTTAAAACCCCCATAAACATTTTCTTTAGTTGGTTGAAATAATACAAGAATCCTTGTGAGAACGATATTTCGAGTCATTTGTCGCTATATTACATTTTTACAAAAACTACTCGTTTTTGATCCGCGAGCGACCGCGGATCAAATTGGCGCCGTTGCCGGGGATTCTTATTAATTTTAGCCAATTGTAAAATTTTAATTTTAGAGTTTTTGTTTTTTTTTGTTTTTTGTTTTTTGTTTTGTGTGTAAATTTTCAGGGTTGCAGTACAGTGGTAAGCGTTTCAGTCTATCAGGTGAGTTTGTAAGCTATTGTTCCGATTTGCTCCGAATTTTTTCCAGAAAATCAGAAATAAATCGTTTAACAATACTCCTTTAGAATAGAATTCTAAAAGATTTTGACCCTGAAAATCGCAAATTAGTTATTTTTCTATTTTATTTTTTTTTTCTATTTTCATATTTTCAAAAAAATACGAAATTTTTTTTATTGACTCATTTTGATTTTATTTGATTTTTAGTTATATTTTTATAATTTTTAGATTTAATTTTATTCGGTTTTCTATTTTTCCATTCTTTTTCTTAACGGGGACATTGTTGGTATTTTTCTAATTGTTGCTGCATTGCCGAATTTGTTCTTTGTTTTATTTTCTTTGTTGATTTTCCTATTAAATTTAATATGACAAATCAAATAACTCTTAGAGAACTTGTTGCCTATGATACGAACTATAATGCTTTATGTATGGAATATCCTGTTGTTAGTGTACCTTTCGAATTGGAATCTGATTTAATACACTTGTTGCCAAGGCTTAATGGACTTGCAGGTGAGGATCCGAATAAGCATATGAATGAATTCCAAATTGTATGCTCTACACCTTCTGAACCTTCATTAGAAGACCTTGTCAAGCAAATGGCTATAAATGATCTTCAGTTTCAGCAACAAACAGATTCAAGTCTTCAGGCTCTGCAGACACAGATTGAACAGTTTGCCACTACACTGAATGCCATGCAACAAGCTCAAGAATCAAACCAACTATCTGCCCAAACAGTAGTGAATCCAAAAGAGTTACCATCTGATTTAGTTGATGATATTCATCCTGAGTTGTTATCTGATTTTCCATCTTTATTAGATTATGATGATACTTACTCTTGTGATTCATGTACCGATACTAACATTTGTTCTGTTTGTGTTGAGATTAATGCTGCCGTACAGGGTGATGTTTTTCATGCAGATGAAGTTGTTTATGTAGCTAAAACTCTTAACATCACGGCTGCCCCAACCTCACCATCCATTGAACAACCTTCCCCCTTGGAGCTTAAACCACTTCATACCAATCTGAATTATGCTTATTCAGATATGGATAAAAAGCTTCCAGTTATAATTTCTTCTAACCTTGATTTTGATGAAGATAATAAACTTTTACAGGTTTTGAAGAAATATAAGAAGAGAATGGGATGGACCTCGATGGAAGTGGGAAGAAAAGCAATGAAGCAACCCCTTAACCCATTGATCTCTGATGTTGTGGAAAAGGATATCAAATTCACGTGTCCATTCGACACTTTTATTTATCGAAGATTCTTCTTTGATCCTGGAATAAAAGGCGAAGACACTAATACAAATTTCAAGGGCGATGGATGCTATCCAAAGTTACTCCCCACTTTGGAAGAGGAGACGGCAGGAAATCTCTCTTTGGGAAAGGATGCATATGTGATCACTTATCCACCTTGACTCCTCGGGTGTGTTCCTTCCTTTCTCTCACTCTTATTTTATATTTATGTTCTTTCGTTGAGGACAATGTATGCTTTAAGTGTGGGGGAGGGAACCATTTACTTTGTTTTATTTCTTTCAATTTTCTTTGTTTTGTTTTCATTTAATATAAAAATTGTTTACTCAGAAAAACACAATGCATTTTTTGAAATTTTTGGGTTGTAGATCGATTGGAGGTCAGATTGTAGAGACTTGAGAAAAATTCATAAGATCGGTATCGTTTTAACACCTTGAGTCTCCAAAATATGGAAATCGATTTAGATACTTGTTATGGCTTAGTCTTGAGTTCTCGTTCTTTAATAGCTCTTAAGTAGTTTATCTAGCAGTCAGCACCATCTAAAAATCACATGCTAAGTAATTGAGCTGATGCAAATAAGTGAATGATCCCGTGCTTAATAAGAAGAAAAAAAAGAGAAAAAGAAAAAGACAAAAAGTGAAAGAAAAAAAAGAAAAGAAAAGACAAAGAAAAATGTCTAATTATGAATTGTTGAAAAAAATATGGATCACAGTCACT